TGCAATGAGGTAAAACTTAAATGCCGACAAGGAAAGTTAAAACAAATGATCTAACTGTGATTTATCGTGAGAAACTGGCAGCAGCTCTCCCCTCCCTGTCACTCACAGCCCACAGTCACTCCGATCATGGACACGGGCAGGAGAATGGCTGCGGCGCCCGCCCGGCTGACACGGGCTCCTGCTTATCTCCCGGGCCACTCCCCCCGCCAGCCTGCGCTAATGCCCACGCCAGGGCACTCCCCGCTCCACGGCCGGCACCAGCAAGGTCTTCTCCGGGCAAAATGAACACATTTAGAGCAACCCCTACTTCTGAGATTCTGACTTACAAATAGGAAAATGCAAATAAATATTCATGTTCGTAAGTACATGCATTTATTCCAATCCCACTCCACAGGTTTCCAAAGTCATGATTTTAGGAGAAAATGACATGTTAAAGCAAATTTGAGCTCACACGTGCAGATCATGAGAATCAATCATAAAACAGCCCTCACCTTCCCACGTGTCATCACGCCTCCCCCGGGGTCCCGCCCACATCCAGTCTCTGCAGGTGTGGGTCCAAAGTGCCCCTCAGAACCGAGTCTAAGTTTAAATGGAGGATAAGGTGGGGGGTGCTTCTTCACTTTTACAATGGTGAAAATATTTAGTAAAACTAAAATATAATTCTCTGCTTAAACTGTGCGATTCAAGGTGATGGAATAATGTTTCTTATTTTTAAACCAAATTTAACATTGTTAAATATATCAGTCGCTGTTTGAAAAATACTGGCTTTACTTAGAAATTACATCACAGCCAGGGGGCGGACCTCAGAACTGCACAACAGTGGACTGGCTTCAGGAATCAGGCTACGTCACCTCCACAGAACGCTCCGTGCAGGAGCAGAGGTGATCCTGACAAAGACGTAAACACGGGAAAGCCTATGCCACAAGGTTAAACGGGAACAAAGCACAAAGCAGAGTTTTATACACGATGTGCTCGGGACCACGCAAATACCACGCACGGAAAGAGGCTTAGCGGGAACACGGCATAACAGTGTTACCAGGAGTGGGGTGGCCGCGCCCCGCTCACCAGGGCCTGAGGGGGCCGCGCACAGGCCCAGGCGCACGGCCCAGA